TTGTGTGTGTGTGTGTGTGTCTGTGCATATGTGTACGTGTGTTGTCATATTCGCCATACACTCAAAAAAAGCATGATGGTGCCAGACTATTTCATCGGAATTTCACCAACTCATCACGTGTAAGTGTGTGTGTTTTGTAAATTTTCACCACAACAGCCCCTGTTCCACCCAGATGAGTTGATCCAAAACCCATGCTGCTTTACCTCTATTGCAGACAATGAAGCACACTTGAGATGAGCCATTCCAATAATGAAACAGTTTACCTCTATAGCAAGCTACACAGAGAAGATTGAGAGGAGTCGTTCCAACAACGAAACAGTTTATCTCTACAGCACGCAACATGGAGCAGAATAGATCCGTTATATCCCTTTCTTGACTTTCTTTACTTTGGCCCCTCGTATTTGTTCTTGCGGCTCCCTTTTTACTGTGCCTCTCACATACAAGGCTGGCCACCATGATTGTGGTTGAGCGTCAGCTCTGTCTCTGTGTGTGTTATAGATTTTTCCCACAACAGCCTCAATTCCACCCAGATGAATAGATTCAGAATCAAAGCAATCTTCGTCCTATTGCAGACAACGAGAGCATTTGAGATGAGACAACCCAACATACTAAAGCAATTTTATAATGAGACAGTTTATTGGTTGTCCTTGGGGTACCCCTTCCATTTGTTCTTGAAGCTCCCCTTTTACTGTGCCTCTTCCGTACAAGGCTGCCCACGTTGATTGTGGTTGAGCGGCAGCTGCCCACATCCCCGTGTGCCTTCACGGTCCACAAGCACGTTATTTCAGGAGGCAGAGTAGAGGGGAAGGTATGCTCCTGTGCATTCTCTTCAGGCCTTCATACTCCTGTTCATTTCACTTCAGATCTTCAACTTATACTTAGTCTTTGTGTCCCTCCATCTTCATACTTCCGTTCATTTCATTTCTGATCTTCATATCGTCTGTTCTCTTAACGACGCTCACACAAAGGGACTGCAGGAGAACATGTTGGGTTGAGGAGCAGTTAATGCCTACGGCAAGCGGCCACCCCTACAGACCGGACAGGACCGGTTCGGGTGTGGACTATGGAAGCACCGCGCGCGCGCGCGCGCGTGTGTGTGTGTGTGTGTGTGTGTGTGTGTGTGTGTGTGTGTGTGTGTGTGTGTGTGTGTGTGTGTGCACCTCTGTGGTTTGCTACATCAGTCAGCCGACAATCCCCACACGGGGAGAATGTTTGTCTGTTTGATCTCCATCAGGGAAAAACCATTGAGCATACATCTTCCCCCTCTCCCTGTGTTACTTTTATTCCTTTTCGGCATTCACTCCTTGCCATCCTGCTCAATTCCCTTCGTGTGAGGACAAAGACCCCATGTCACTTGGCCGATTCCCTCACCACCTCCTGAATCTCTTGCATGGTACCAGTGGCCCAACGTCTTTGTTGACAGCGTGGATCACAAAAAGGGGAGAAATCAATATGGGTTGACTTCATAACGGTGGAGAGTTATGATAGTCAGAGGGAGAGGTAGAGGGGAAGCTAGAAGAGAGAGAGAGAGAGAGAGAGAGAGAGAGAATGGCGAGGATCGGCAACTGATTTGTGGGGTGAGGGGGTTGAACAGGAAGGGGGGCTGGTCCAAATGGAGGGCAAGCTGAGGTTGGGGGAACGGGTTGGATTACAATCTTCCTCCTTGTTTTTGTTGGGGGATTCAATCAGGAGCATTTTGATGAGCTTCTTCGACTCTTATTTCCATTCTTACGGTCTCCCTTTTTTCTGCTCAGTTGTAGACACCGGGAAGGCCCACTGGGTGTTCTTCTCCCAACCTTTATATGATTGCAACATTTGCATGAGAGAAAGCAGAGCAGTCAACTTGGATATTCTGTGGGTTTTGTTTTCAATTTTATGAACAACAGTTTCCTTGCTACTTGACATTTTCAACTTTATTGTGATCTAAGGCTTTGAAGTTCAAAGCCGGCATGTCACTGATACATCCGCTTTCAACTTTATTATGATCTAAGGCTTCAAAGTTCAAAGCCAGCATGTCACTGATACATCCCCTTTTTCTTGCGAAAACGCCGAAAAGCACAAAGAAAAGTACAAAGAAAAGCAATAACTTGTCTGAAGTTCTGCAAGAATCTGAACAAGCACGTCGGCCATTTAGACAAGGAGTGAAGGACAGGATGTCATAACAAAGGGAAATCCAAACCTGGCGAATTGACGATGGCACTTTGCTCCGGAGGTTGTTTTCAAGCTGCGGACGCAACTCTTTCGGCAACTGGGCCTGCGAAACCCATCGAGTTTTTCCCAATGTATTTCAACCAAGACAATGCAGACGAAGAACCAGGGAAGGAACCAGGGGGAGTTAAGAGATCATTCAGTACTGATCCTCTACCTGCAAGGAAAGGTACAAAGAAAAAGTGGAAACATGGCGGCTGTATCCTTGAAGAGTGGAAACATGGCTGCTGCGAGAGGGACCCAGATGATTGTGTTCGACTGTGACGCACTGTTTTACGGGGCTTTAACTCACTCGTCAGGAGGTTCAGTGTGTTGTAGATTTTCATCACAACAGCCGCTCTTTTACCCAGATGAATTGATCCAAAATAAAAGCAGTTTTACCTCTATTGCGGACAATGAAGCACAAAAATGATATGAGTCAATCCAAAAAGGAAACATGTTTACCTTCAGTGTGTTAGTATGTGTGTTGTATATCGTTCGGACACTTCGCATGAAAACTGTGGACGTGAGACAGATACACACCCACATATGCAACAGACAGACAGACAGACAGACAGACAATGGGAGAGACACGATCGTTGACGCAGTCTTCGGACACAACATTTTCCTCCGACTACTACTACAGACCTCGCCCCCCTCCCTCACAGTCATCAGCCCATCTCTCTCCTGCTCAACATCTTATCTATCCTCCTGCCGCTGCCACTCGTGTCCACTCACAGTAATTCTCCCCTACCACTCCCCTTCCCTCCTTTCTCGCCCCGCTTCCCCTACCCTCACTGTCCGCATGCAAAAAGATATACAGTATTGTACACATTTGTTGACAAACCCACTCACGCTGGAGCGTAAATATAATCATGTTGTACTGCTCCTGTTTTTGGGGGCAAGAGCCATGTTCTTCCTCTCTTGCCTTTGTTTCTCCTTCCCTCTCAAACTCCCGTCTGATCTTCATTGTTCTCCTGCTTCGTTTTCTATGAACCCCTCTCCCTGTCTCCCAGCAGCTCACCAGTTCCGCACCCTCCATCCCTTCCTCTCTCATCCCTTTGCATGCTCAGAATCATCCGTCATCTGACCCTTTTTCTTTGGCATCCTCCTTCAACTTGATAGTGCATCCTACCTCTTTCTTGCCTTCTTGCTACTTTACCCCCTATCTCTTCCTGCCTGCTGCTGCTCCTCCTTGTCTCCTATCCACATTGTCATGTACCTTCTCTCTCTCTCTCTATATATATATGTACCTTCTCTCTCTCTCTATATATATATATGTACCTTCTCTCTCTCTCTATATATATATATGTACCTTCTCTCTCTCTCTATATATATATATATATATATTATATATATCGTCAAATAGCGTCAAATAGAACTGCCCGGTAAACCGTAGGCAGAGAGGGAGAAGAGGACAACAAACGAGGGGCTGTGACAAACTGTTTCGTCGGAGTTTCACCGACTCATCAGGAGGCTGATATATATATTATATATATAATATATATATCGTCAAATAGAACTGCCCGGTAAACCGTAGGCAGAGAGGGAGAAGAGGACAACAAACGAGGGGCTGTGACAAACTGTTTCGTCGGAGTTTCACCAACTCATCAGGAGGCTGATATATATATTTATATA